AATACATTTCTATCTAAAAGATTTAGGCAAAAATCCCTGATTTCTTTTACCAGGTAAACTGACATTAGATCAGGTTTTACTCTTTCCACATTAATGCTTAGAGGACCAGATTACACCTCTGCGAGATACATTTATTTTTGAGTTGTGCGATATCCCTCGATGGTCCCTGCACTCCATGCTAACACAACTGACACACAGTTACATGTAATTTAACAACATGTAGCTTAAGAGCAGCTAAGTTGTTTTTTCACTTTTTTTAGGTCATACAAGTCATCCACCATTATTCCACTCAGCATGATGATCTGCTGATGACACATGGATGAGTTTGGTGTCATCAGTCAAAGCTAAGTCAGGCAGAAAGACAGTCTACCAGCCTCTCAGTGGGTTTCCTCTAGAAAGGAGACAAAAAACGTGTTTCAGAACCTGCAGGCGCAGGTAAAGTGCTGAGGATCTCTCCCTGAGCGAACCAACTAACCTTTCCTTCCAGCCTCGTGTCTTTAATTTGTACTGGCAGACAATGAAATATTTACAAGGAACTCTACAGGCAATTACATTAAAAGTGTGTGGTTAGACACCGCCTACCCTTCGGCAGGCCCCTCGGTGGGAAGCCGAGGCCGATTTGGTGAATGGTCGCAAAGTTTACAACGTCAGATTTTACTCACTATCAATAATTCAGAGCTGGAAGAAGCAAAGAGTCGGAGGAAAGGAGGACAAGAGTGAACGGAAAGGAAGGGAAGGAGAGCAGGAGGCGACGTGAGGCGTTCAGACTGTGGTGATGTCGGCTGCACTTCAGTGTCCATTTGCTAAATGTGGCAGAAATACGCAGTGTGGCGGCCATGTTCTGCTCGCTGAAAGCTTCACCGGTCATCTGACCGCAAAGAGCCCATCTTGCACACTACACACAAATAGTATATTGGTCATATACAGTACATTCAGATAATTACACGTTTTTACGTATCACACACTAACAGCGCATCAACAGAATCACACACATTGAAAAGCTGCACACGTCCCCCCTGGAGAGCGCTTAAAAACAAGGAAAACTACATTTAAGAATTTTTCAAAGAAAGGTGTTGTGCAATCACACGTGACATTTTAGTTTACTATCCCAAATGTTTTGACTTCTTCATTCAATACCATTTGGTATTTTACATTTAATGCAAATTTGTTCAGAGATATAATTAAGCTTTCTACATTTAAGTGGACAGTTCTTATGTTAATTGATTCTGTATAATGCTTTTTAGGGTTTTCCTTTCCTCTGGTCTGCAGGTTTTGTAAATGCTCAAAGGCTAAAATCCCACACCCCCCCCCCCTGCCTAAAAACGCCTCCATTTGTGTCCTTTGTTTACTTCCTGAACATAGTGACATCACTATGTAACACTTGTTCTTGTATTAGCTAGCGCTCCAACACATACGTGAACAGGGGGGCGGGACACCTAAGCGTTTGAGTTATCACAACAGAGCCGGCCAGCTAACCAATCAGAGCAGACTGGGCTCTGGTTTCAGACAGAGGGTGAAAAGAGAGAAAAATAAAGAGTTTTTTTAACATTAAAGCATGGAGACACGTCCCAGAGACACTTAATACAAATATGAACATTCATCCAACACTGGTGACAATCGTTTTGCAGGTGACTTTCTCTGGAAGTAAGTGGTGACCTTAAAGTCTGAACTTCCTCCTTTATCCTGAACTCTTCCTCCCTCCTCTCCCTCTCCCCTCCCCAGCTGGACTCCCTGCGTGTTGCCGTCCGGTGTCGCCTTCCCAGAGGAGCGTCCTGCCTCCTGATGTATATTTGATGAGCGGGTGCTGGGGACCCTCTGGAGGGCCATGACTGCAGCGGGACAAAGGGCCTCGCTCAGGTTTCCTGCTGCCTGACACCCACACTGCTGCTCTTTTTGTGGAGGAGCCGCTGAGCCGAGGCTGGAGTTTCATCCGGGACAGAGGAGAGAGGCAGAGTTACCATCAGCCGGCTGCACCTCCAGCTTTTACTGCTCCAGGAAACAGTCACCATGCATCTGATGTTGGGCTTCATCTATGTGCTAAACATGCGTCACTACAAACTGAATTTGAATAATTTATATTTAAATATGAATTGCAAAACTTGAATAATTGCATTAAAAACTTAATTTGATTCACATCATTTGAATTTGCATGATAATCTTGAATAATTGCATTGAAAAAAAACTGAATCTGAATAGCATAATTGGCAATTGAATTTAAATATACTTTCACATTTCTGGTGACTTATTTTCTGCCAATATGTTTGATCCCTTTTTTCTCAATAAATTGTCACTTTTATAAGGAGTAAACTCTCAATGGTACTTATACTAAATACTGATAATAATTCATTGTTGTGAATTTAATTTTGGTTGAAAATTGAGGCTGAAATCACTGACAATTTCCCTTTTAAGTATACAGTAAAAGCAACCTTGACGAAAAAGGAAATATTCCTTAGGCTAACTCAATATAACAATTTTTTTTAAGGATAATGAAAAGCATCCAATGGAAAAACAGGAAAGGATTAGCAGAGGAGAGGATGTTCAGAGGAAGGAAACATGCATACATATGTATTAGATATTTGGGTACCACTACAATAAGACCCTTATAAAGGGTTCATAATTAGGTTATGAAGTAGGTTGTAAACACTTTATTAATCATTAAGAACCATTTATAAACCAGTTCTAACATAGTTTTCATACGTCAACACAGGCTCACTATTTGGCAAGATGACTAAGCCTTATATTGGCTACTTAGCGAGAACTCAGTGAGCAACAGATACCAAGGATGCTGGCTGATGAAGAAGACGAAGTAAGCTAGGTAGCCAATATAAGACTTAGCAGTACAGATAAATGTGGGCTCACTATTTGGCAAGCAACCGGTCACAGTTGCCCTGTTTATCTCATGTCTTATAAAAGCTTAGTAATGATTTATAAAGTTCACAACCTAATTAATAAATGAATTACAAACTACTCGTAAACCCTTTATAAGGTAGAGTCTTATTGTAAAGTGGTACCCATATTTGTACTTAATGTTCACCTTACAGATTTCCCTTCCACATGGATTTCATATTTATAATTGTGTATTCTTATTGTCAAATTGTCCTTATATCTATTTAAAATACACCGATCTTTACTTAAAGACTGCTAATTAAACTCTTTGTATTACCATAATTGTGCATTACAAGGTCAGTACCTCCTAAACTGATTTAATTTGCAAATAAAAACACAGCCATCACTGCACCTGTGGTCAAACCAAACATATAGATCAGTGTACAGATTGGTTAAATTAATATTTAATTTCAAACAGGAAATGTTGAGAACAAACAAAATATGACAATGGAAAATAAAACGTACACAATGTTCACAAGAAATTGAATTCACCGATTGGGAAATATACACTATATATTTATATATTTTTATATAAGATGGTTCGTGTTTTGTAAAAAGCTTCAATGGAGGAGAAGCTCTATTATTATTTATTAGCCTATAGCACATGTAGCAACAGCCAGATAATCACACAAATAGAGGGATTACCTGAAGACCCCCGGACCCTTCCCCCCCTCGGGAGCCCCTTTAGGTGATTATTGGGATAATTATTCCGTCTTATCGCGCGCGTGTCTGCCCGCCGGAAATCCCCTTTTTGATTGACAGGTTGCTGCCCCGCTGACCTCGCGAGGCTCATCGGTAAATATTTCATCGTCTGCTGCTCGCGCTCTTTAGTTCCCGTTCAGACCTGTTTATTCTTTAATTGAGAGAGAGAGGTGTGTAGGGGTAGGGAGGGGTGTGTGTGTGTGTGTGTGTGTGTGTGTGTGTGTGTGTGTGTGTGTGTGTGTGTGTGTGTGTGTGTGTGTGTGTGTGTGTGTGTGTGTGTGTGTGTGTGTGAGAGAGAGAGAGAGAGATCGGGGGGGGCTTTACTACGGCCACAAAGTAAATGAAGCATGATTAATTAATGTATTAATTGCCAAGAAAGTGAATGGGGTTCAGGCAGAGGAATTCCTGCATCAATTAATAATTTCAGCTGAATCTCTCTATCTCTCTCTCTCTCTCTCTCTCTCTCTCTCTCTCTCTCTCACGCACACACACACGCACACACACACACACACACGCACGCTCTACACAGGTTAATTGATTAATTGCTTTTCTGTCTTTTTCCAGTCATATTTCATATTTCCTGTAATATCAAAAGAGGCATAAAGAATGAATGACACTCAGATAAGCTAGAGTGTGAACGTCAGAAGGAATGATTATTAATTTATTATATTGATTAATTGTGATTTACTCATAACACAAAACATAATGTCTGACAATATCACGATCTGATCCTGCCAGGGGTTCTGAACCGAAACGAAATGCTCAAATGTAAATTCAGAAAATGTCATTAAAGATTAATGTTTTAGGGTCAAAATAAAAACATTTGCTGTGACAAAACACTTTCATGCCAACAAACTAAATTATATATATTTTTTAAATCCAGACATTTTGGAAAAAAGTAATTTATCATATTATATGTTGATCAATATGGGTAAGGCAGTCTAAAACGTTCATTTTAAAAGCTAACGTTCCTTTAACACCATGCCTGTTTCCTCTAACTGTGGGGAGCCTATTTCTTCAGGTGTTGATTTTCAGTTATTTTGACGAATATTTCTGATCCCTCACAGCATCCTTTCCAGAGAGCCAGGCACGCTTGGAGGCGTGGCTGCAGCCGGATAACTCCTCCTGATTGGTGGAGGCGTGCAGAGGGAGGGGGGAGGTTCCACCAATCAGGAGGAGGCTTCACGGCTGTGGTCCAATATAGGAGCTGGAGGCGAGGATCATCTTTATTATAGAACTCAGTTACAGGCGAAAAGGAGACAGGAGATCCGCAGGAGCCAGGAGTTACCTCTCCTCCTCTGTTCTGGTTTTAAAGCTGCATCTGCGAACACTTTTCCTCTCAGAGGTGTTTCTCTTTTAGAAAGTCTACCAAGGATCTGAAACCAGGACGACAGAAAGCGAAAGCTCCCACCAGTTCTGCAAATATGATGTCCATGAACAGCAAGCAGCCTTTCAGTATGCACCCCATCCTCCACGAGCCCAAATACAACCCTCTGCACAGCAGCTCCGAGGCCATCCGCAGGGCCTGCCTGCCCGGACAATCGGTGAGTCTCCTTTACTGCGGACTTCCTGTCATATGCAAACAACAACACTTCTAACATGTCAGGGGAAATAGTGGAGGAATAACTTGTGTACTTTGTCTGGTAAATCTGTCAACTTTACCAGAGGAAGGCTTGTAAATGGTTAGAAATGGGATAAGAACTGCAGTGCATTGACTGATTTTTGGACCTTTGTTCTGACCTATTTGCTTTAAAACTGTAATAGTATGTCCTGTCCATTTCGAGGATATACAAAAGTAGTTTTTTGTATCATAAGAAACACATATTTTGATCACTAAAGTCAGCTTTTTTACGCACCAGAAAACAGAGAGCAAGAAATGTGTCATGTTTGGAAACTTGGGAAAATTGAATGAGTGTATAAGTACATGTAAATAAAGAGTAAATACACAAATCAAATATAGAATTGAATGCAAATGTTAAGATCAGATGTCACCAGAAGCACAAAGAGAAGAGTACACACCAATTTGGCTACTTAAATGTCAGGAAGTCGGTGCGTAAAGACGCTCAAAAAGCCACATCTCACATTCAGGAGAGCGTGAGTGTTGCTGCTGAAAGTGAGAGAAGATCAAATATGAAACAGAAAGCGGACAACACGAGGGCTGGATTTTCTCAGCGCGTGTTATCTCATATTGTCACATTCATATTCAAACTCTTCTCATTTCATTGTCCGCAGAAATTATTCAGGAGATCGTAAATATTAATTTTAAATGAATTTCCATCCACTCTGACACACTTTCTGGGCGTTGGGCAGATCAGAGCTGGAGTTGCAATACGTTTGTTTTGTTTGGTGAAAGAAGCATGGGAATTAAATTCAATTGTTTAATTTAATTGCTATTTTAGATTATTTGAAATAAATAGTTGAGATGTAACTTTAACATGTCCACTGTTTATCTAATCTTGTTCAATTTAATACTCACGGTTATATTGCGAGGCTTTTACGTTTGGAAAATTATGTAAAATGATCCAAAGTTTTGTGATATTTAAATATGAACAACTTGGATAAGGAACACTTTCGTTTTTCACACATTTTGAATTAAAAATGATTTAGTTTAGTTGTTTTCTCAATATGTTTACATTATTTCTACAGAGAAATTAAAATAACCCATACTTAATGTTGATGCATAGAAAGTGTTTGCATGGTGCAGTGGGAAAAATAAATGGTTTAAATATTGTTAAATGAAGTCATATGTCCTGCTCTAACCGGCCCTCTCTGCTCCCTCCGCAGCTGCAGGGCAACATCTTCGCCGGCTTCGATGAGACTCTGCTGCAGAGAGCCGAGGCTCTGGCCGCGGTGGACATCGTGGCCCAGAAGAGCCACCCGTTCAAACCAGACGCCACCTACCACACCATGACCACCATGACCAGCATGGCCTGCACCCCCAATTCCTCCTCCGGGCACCTGCACCACCCCTCCGTGCTCAGCTCGCACCACCACCCGGGGCACCACCAGTCCGCGCAGGTTCTGGATGGAGACCTGCTGGACCACCTCACACCGGGGATCTCCCTGGGAGGCATGTCCGGCACTGACGTCTGCTCCTCGGCCTCGCACCAAGCGCACGCCGCTCACATGTCGGCCATCAACCAGCACATGCAGCACCACCACCACCAGCAGTCCATGAACATGCACCAGCACGCGCTGTCCCACAGCTCCCTGGGGTCCGGCGGCTTAGATTCAGAGCCAGACCCCCGGGAGCTGGAGTCTTTCGCCGAGAGGTTCAAACAAAGGCGGATCAAACTCGGGGTGACGCAGGCAGACGTGGGCTCCGCGCTCGCAAACCTTAAGATCCCCGGGGTGGGGTGTCTGAGCCAGAGCACCATCTGCAGGTTCGAGTCCCTGACGCTGTCGCACAACAACATGGTGGCCCTGAAGCCCATCTTGGAGGCCTGGCTGGAGGAGGCGGAGCGGGCGCAGAGGGAGAAGATGAACAAGCCGGAGATATTCAGCAGTGGGGATAAGAAGAGGAAAAGAACGTCAATTGCAGCCCCGGAAAAGCGTTCCTTGGAGGCTTATTTCGCCGTGCAGCCGAGGCCCTCGTCGGAGAAAATCGCAGCCATCGCGGAGAAGCTGGACCTGAAGAAGAACGTGGTCCGGGTTTGGTTTTGCAATCAGAGGCAAAAGCAGAAACGAATGAAGTTTTCTGCGACGCACTAGGGTCTCTGTCCCGTTTACACAAAGACAAATCAGAGGCAAGATGCTGCTGCTGCTGCTGCACACTGTCAGAAAAACACGGTACACCGGGGAGCCTGCTGGCCTAGTGCGCACTTAAAAAATCCATACTAACAAGTCACATTTTATTAAGTTTTTCGCCTTCAAGAATTCAAATGAACCTTCATCGAAAACGTATAATATGCTGTTTCACCTCAATGGCTGAATTCGCTGAAGAAAAATCACATTTTCGGACAAATAAGGGACTTAATGTCTTCATTACAGTGTTGTCCATCTCGCAAAGGAGCTGTGGAAACGTTTTCCCAGAAAGTATTCAACGAAGCGCAGAGAAACAGCTTCACGTCTCTGGAGTTTTCAGGCATGTTTCCGAGGACGTGGGACACCTGACGACTTTGAGCCACTCAGTATAACCAGGAACTGTTTGTTGTTATTGTTTTTGGAAGATTCAGCCTAACGCAGCTTCACAGACCACTGGATTCAACGGTGTATCTTTTGTATTCTGACAGTGGAGACGGAGCATCGGGACTATAGGAGAAAGACTGAGATCCTGTCCAAAAACTCTCAAATCTTTATGTTTCTCCACAGAATTCTCTCTGAGACACGCGAGAAAAGTGATCATCAGAAAAAGAAGGGGAACATTGCTCCGTCCCATTCATTCATATGGCAATTATTGTACAAAAAAATAATCATAATAATGACGGGAATCGAGGAAAAACTGACCTCGTTAGTCCGAATAGCTTTTTTATATTTATCATTGTACATATTTGTGAATATGTTGCACCTCCGTGAGTGGAAAGCTCATTGAAATGTATTGGATTTTCTGTCTTTTCTCCCAGGTGTTTGTTTCTGTAGGGAATTCAATCGTTTTTTGGGACAAATTGAGTAAAAATGGCTAATTTATGAGGCACACTAACTGTAATCCATTGCATGGTTTACTCGTAAAAGGGGAGAGGGGTTATTTTTTCTCTAAAAATATGAAAATAACCCCCCTAAAAGTGAATGCATTGCAATAAGAGAGACACACAAACACACGCACGACACATTCACACGGTATAGCTGTGTGGCTACCTCATTACGCAAGTGTTGGCACGTTCATGGTGATTTAAAAACACACACAAACACACACACCTTAAAAAGAAAAAGAAAAAAAGACGAGTAGGAACATTTTTGTTTGTTTTGAGATGTGTTTTTTTCCTTTTTGTTGTTTCTTACACCAGTTTAATGGCGAATTAGGCCTAGACAAATTCACTGATGTGTAAACCAGTTGTATATGTTCACTGCAAGGATGCTTTGACAATCAAATTATTATTATTATTATTATTATTATTAATTTGTTTATCCCCCTACTTTTTGTCCTCATGCAATTTATTATTATTGTTATTATTATTATCTCTGACACCTTTGTGGAGCGCACTTTGTAGATAATCCAATGAAGGGAAATAGTCGGCCTTATTTATTTATTTATACATTTTTTTCAACACTTCTGAGAAATGTCATGTTTTGTTTTATTTTCTTTATACTGCCCTTTATTTATTTATTTAACTTAATTTATTTTGGAGGGGAAAAAAATCATATTTCATTTGTGAAAGTGTGCTTTAAATGTGTCTGTGTAAACGACAGAAGCTGAAATAAACCGTGCACGTTTTACTTCGTTCTCTAACAGCCTTTCTTTGAAAAAAAAAAAATCAAAAATCGAAATAAATAAAACGTCTTTTGAGCTTTACTATAATAACAATTCTTACGTTTTTAATCAAAACGACCATTTATATTTTTGTAATTCTTTAGAAATCGATAACTGTGATCAGCTTGTCATCACATTAACCTATGTTTGCTGATAGAGGTGTTAATAGTCTTTTCTTATAGATAGATGTAATGGACTTTGCAACATGAGCTTGGTGCAGAGCAGCTGCTCCTCTGAAACAGGAGAAGCTGGAGGTGAAGGAGGTCCGTCTGAAAGCTGCTTCCCAGAGCTGATGAATAGGATTTGATACTTGAGTGACTCTAATATTGATCAACTTGGCCGGGTATGAAGACTACACGGCTCTATCACATCCAGCACTACGCAGACAGGGCAGCAGGCTCTATCTGTCTGAGGCTTTTAGCAGACTAATAGGAAATACCTTACAGAGAGTGGAGCCGATAAACACACATTTCAAAGTTAAAAAACGTGTAGAGTAAAACTAAAAAACAACGGGCATTGATACAAACATAAATAAAAAACATGTTTATTTTTCTGCTCGAGAAAATCTGTAAACGATTGACTCTGGCATGAGCTGGACATCCATAATGCTTCAGTTTAGACTGAGAGAGAGAGTTTTAGACTAAATAATAAATACAAAAAAGAGAATTTCACCAAATATATACCAGCTTTATTCATAAACTGTTGAACGAAATAATATGCAGGAGTCCCCTGACAGACACCCTGAACAATTCGTACTTTAAATGTAATTCCCCAACACGATTGTGCAATATGTGTACAAGTCTTCCTACTTCAGGGACATACTGAAACGGAAACATTTCTTTATAATTTTGTTAAATATTATTTTATAGGATAATGAGTCTTAAACTACTGCAAACAGTTTGTAAAATGTAAGCAGGTGCAGAATAGAATGTAAACTATCTCCAGCTTAATAGAAACCCCCCGTTTATATATAAAAAAAAGAATACCTTGGACATATTATTCTCAATGTTACTGCCCTGAGCCATGATCAGACTCCCAATGTTAGCTGCCCCCTCTCTGACTCTTTTTTGAGGTTATTTATTTCTGCTTACAACACAATTGTGAAATTGTGAATCCAGGATATCTGGATGTCTCTGTCCCTCAGCTTCAAGTTCAAAGTTTCAATTGAAATAATAAATCCAGCCTAATATTCCTTCTAGTTATATTTCTGTCAGATGATACTTACATATCCAAAGCTCTGCTTTTCTAAATAGGAGTTCAAAAGAACAAAAAACCTCATTTTACATTTCAGAGCGTGTCATTATTATAATCAATAAAACAAATTCAGATACTTATGTGCTTTATATTTACATTTAAAAAGTATTAAACGAGAGCAGCATATGGAATTAATTGTGCATGATTCATGTAGTGCACATAATATAAGTTATAAGCAATTGTGTGCATGAGTCTTCATTTCAGAATCGGTGCAGTATTTATTTTTACAGTGTTTTTGCAGATTACAAAAACACAAAATGCTCCATGCATTAACAATATGGCAGTATATTTATCCGGAAATAGAAAAATAAAGAATGATGTAGGGTTGAGGTTTCTATTTAAGCATCAACAAACCAGAGTGCCATGAAATTCCCTATCTGTGTATTTTATTCATACCAGTGTTTTATGTTTCTCTTTGCAGCTCAGCAGGTGGTTTCGGCACCATAAACTCGTTATTAATGAATAATAAATATCAGCTGTTATGATACTATTGATTTTTGAGTGTGTTTGTTAAGAAGCTGCTTTTCTCTGTCGTACAACAGCAGCTCAGGCCTTTATCCCCTCGGAGCAACTCAATACAGGCTATAAGCTACATGCTACAGGCTACATGCTACAGGCTACATGCTACAGGCTACATGCTACAGGCTACATGCTACAGACTCTACACACTACAGACTTCATGCTACACGTTATAAGATACAAGCATACAAGCTACATGCTACAGCTAAATGCTAAGTTATAAGCTACAGGCTACCGGCTACAAGCTATAAACTATAAGCGACAAGCTACTGGCTTCATGCTACAGGCTAAAAGATTCAAAGTATGGGTGCAGGCAACACAATATAAGCCACAGCCTACAGGCTACAGGCTACAAGCTGCAAGATACTGTACAAGCGATAAGATACAGGCTACAGGCTACAAGCTGCAAGATACAAGCGATAAGATACAGAGGCGAAGTCCCTCCCTTTCCGGTTGAGCTCCATGGGACCTTATTTCAGAAAAAGTATGTATTGAAGTCAATGGAGAGAGAAAGATTATCTTTGGATCCCGTTTGAATTGAGCCACGAATTACATATATGATGTTTGTCAATTTAAAAGATAATTTTGCAAGTCAATCAAATTAAAACGTGTCGTAAAACTGTGAAGTAACACTTTGTTTTGTGTGAAACGGCTCAATGAACTACATCTCCCGTCTCGCACCACACACCAAGACGGCCGTCACGTTGGCACATTTCACTTCTTCCTTTCAGAATGAAGCGAAAAGTATTAAAAGAGGTGGAAATCACTCCAAGTCTGGGCATGTTGAGAGCTGTACATACACACAAGGGGAGTTAGTCGGTTCCTAAGAGCCAGCATGCGGGACCGGGATTCTGGGATTTGTAGTCTTTCTAGTTGCGTATTTTTCATAGTCTTATATTTCAACAGTTTTACGACAAACTGTGACTTTTTTTGACATGGAAATTATTATTTAAGATTGACAAACATCATATGTGTAATTCGTGGCACAATTCAAACGGGATCGAAAAAGATAATCTTTCTCTCCCCATTGACTTCAATACATACTTTTTCCGAAATAATAGGCTTGTTTGAGACAAGCGAGACCTGCGCAGACCTGCGCAATTGCGATCAACGTCTTGCTAGTGCGTTGCATGATGGTTAGTCATTTTGTCCGACTTGCTCTGGAGGCTCGCCTACATGAGACGTTGAAATCTCGCGGGACAAAGACGCCCGCAGACTTGAGAGCGAGGCGCGGCGAGGCGGCGCAGTTTCTCTCCACGGGCTGCGGAAGCGAAATGCTTGATGGGAAACGACTTGCTGGTATCTCGAGCTGAGCGCTCATTGGTGGGTTTTACCCCGTGCTGGTGATGAAACTCTCCATTGGCTCGGCAAAAGTGTGTTGTTGTTTTGTGTCAGTTTTACGTCGCCACTTCCATTCACATTTTTCATCATTGTTCCACAATGTTTATCATCATTAAATTAATATCTATATATTTGTATACTACACTTGCACTGCTTACCGTTGTCATACTTTATATATCTTAGCATATTC